TTTTCTGTTTTACCAGTCACCTCTTACACCATTGGTGACAGCTATTGTAAATCAATTCAAACTATTCCCCATACATTTAACAAATGAAATAAATATGTACATACATATCCACACAATAAACAAAAAAAAAAGCATAAACGTAATTTGTATAAAAAAAAAACATTTGTTGTGTGTATTTTTTTTTTTAAATTACATTATTTCCAGTTGCCGTTAAACAATGGCTTCAAGTTTTACTTTCTTTATATAAAATAAATACACTGTAAATCTAACATTTGATCAACCGAGCAGGGATATAACCAAAAACCCCTTTTATATCAAAATAAATACAAAAATACATTTCTTATGGTTTTGCAATACTTGTTAAAACATTTTATTATCAAAAATGGATAATACAGGCATCCACGCATTACATGCAATGAGCTGGTTGAGATAGATTTAGGTTTATGTTTTTTTTTCTATTCATGTTTTTTTTCTAATAACTCAAATAATAATTCAATAAATAATTCAATAAAATGTATTTCTGTCCCTTCTAACCTATTCGTGGTTCCCTTTTTGCTCCCAAAAAACTGCCAAACAGAATGTCATGACTTGTGTAATTTTATTACTATTACTTTGCCTATTTTCATAATAGAGGCACTCCTCACATACCGACTGGCTTCCGTTCTTACGACCTGGTCATAAAAACAATTGATCGGTAAGTGAGGATGTGCTAGCAAGCATGCGCAAGAGAACATGTCTACTTTCAAAAAGAATTCCCTCAAACATAGACCACTTCACTAGCGCAGAGAATTCCACGAATCTAAGTTCGGGGAAACTTCCCCAAACATAGATTAGCTCACTAGTGCAGAGAAGTGGAAGTTGTGCCTTTATAGTCCATAGAATAAACAAATGTTGAACGTAAAGCTATTGAGAAAACTCTATGTTTGTCATCTAACACAGCTAGATTCATAGGGTCTGTATAAAATGACACACAATAAATTTAAAAAAATGTTTTATTAACTATGGAAACTTACAAGTAGAGATGTCGTGAACCGTCCGCGAACTTCTCGCGAACGGTTCGTGGCGAACTGTTCGTGGCGAACTCCGGACAGCTGACACATCCCGGCCAATCTCCGGCAGACCCTCCCTCCCAGACCCTCCTACTTCCTGGACAGCATCCATGTTGAAGGCAGCTCGTTCGCGACATCTCTACTTACAAGTAATCTAAAACGAATCTAAGCAGCATGTCCATATTATAGCAGCACCGTTGTATAAAATATATATAAATATTTCTCACAGTATAGATGACTTTTATGTTCTCAATGACCTCATCAATACATTTTCCTAGCTTTGATCTAAGTAAAAACATTTTTACTTTAAAAACGGTACTCTTAACAGGAGCGGGTACGACAAACTCACTAACTTCTCTTCAGTCTGCATATAAACTGTAAGAATTCATACGCTGCAACTATGCAGCCTTATGAAGGCTTTTGCACAAGCCAAGTTATTACATACCTTTATGCTTTCTGTCATTACAAAATAAAGAATAAAAAAAATAGAAAATAAATAAAAAACGGTACTCTACCAGTTATCACAAATTAGCCTTGTTACCATTTCATTTGGCAAAATTCATATAAATGGAAGTGTACTTAGCCGTATGTATTTTTCTAATATTATTTACAGTGACAAAGAGATGACAATACATGTCAATAGCTATAATGTAAATCAAACTATGACATTATGTTGTTTCTTAATCCGCCTTTCCAACAATCTAATATTTTTGTTAGCAAAATGAATTACTTTGAATACATAGAGAGTCTTTAAGGTAATTAGAGACAGACTGCGAAATTTAAACATTACAGAAAGTCTCTATTAAAATGTTAAACTACAATATAAAAACTGATTCTACATCTCAAACAAGATAGTGTCTGTAACGATACATTAGTGCATTGAACACCAAAAATGTGCAGATCCAATAAGTTCTACTATAGAAACTTATAGAATTTTGTTCTCTCCTTCTCTGCTGTCATGAAAATTCTACCAACAATTTCAAAATGATTTGCGGTTTATTTTTCAAAAATGGTTCATGTCTATTTACTAAAGTGTAGTTTGTTGGGAGTTTAAAGTGAATGTGAAATTTTAGGTGAAAATATACAAATTGGAGACATTTTCCAAATAAGCAAGAATTATAATTCTGCTATTTTTAGCCTATAATTAACATTTTACATGAAATTTACTTTCTGTTTCCAGTGTGTCTGTCTTTTCTTTGCTAAGTGTTGTTTCAGATTATTTAGATTTTAAGGATTAAAGAAATCATTCAGCAGACAAAAAGGACTTTCATTAGAAGTCAATTTACAGCTGACAATGTCAAGGTTCTCTTCCAAACTATCGTGTAGCTGAAATGGTCATCTATGGTCACAAAGTTAAAGTGTATCCGTCACTGAAATGATTTTGCTTTAGAAAGTTATACATAATGAAAACTAGGGATTCCTTTTCTTTATGTAGAAGCCGCTGGTTGATAAAAGTTGAGAAAAGGCAGAGTTTTAAAAAAGCCCCACCATAAATCTTGCACGCCTCCTTCCAGCATGGACACTCAAATGATGTCGACAAACTCAAACTAGAGAGGGCAGAGGAAGAGACTTGTGATGAGCACCACAGTGAATTACCAAGATGGCCGCCCCATGAATCAAGACCTGACGGGACAGGCAGGACATAACGGTAAGTAGCGATTGGTCCCAGGGTCATGAACAAGCATTGAATTCTCTCAAGTAATGGAGGAAAATAAGTGACAGAGCCACTTTAAGGAAAATCACATTGCATTCAGGGTGGACTGTTCTAGTCGTAATTAATTCTCTGCAAACTACAAAGTATAGGGAACTTAAAAAAAAAAAAAAATAGTCACTCCCTCAATGGGCTATATGTTTATTTCTTATGGAAAATCACTTTATAGATCATGTTGAAATTTCACTGGAATTCCAAAACTTAAAATAAAATGTCATAAGGCCAATAAGGCACTAGATACTTTATGTATGTACGTGTCAAAAGGCTTAACCTAAATCAGATTCCACCTGCGTTATCTTGCCATTCTCCATCAGCCGTTACTCACGGTGGCTGATTGGAATAGCTCCACCTTGCATGAGAAACACACTAAACACAATTGGCATATAATTTACAGGCCACGTGGTTACTCAGTATCTCTTACACACCCTCGATCTGTATTTCGCGCTTGTGAGCTAGCAAAGGCAAGGCAGCTCCTGGCGACTTGATCTTTCAGGTGGTGGGACGTTTTTCAAATTTTAATTCTTGCTCTTGCTTTTTAAAAAATTGCATTACACAAAGTTACTAAAAGATCAAAAAGCAAAAAGGACAGTGATAACCGTTATCAGCAGTGATAGAACGAAATAGGCACAATCATAGACTAACATTGATATCCAACTATTTGCACTATTCTTCTAAAAAAATAAAAATGGAAGAATAGTTGACAAATTAAATTTGTCGGATGATCGTTAAAATTCCCTGTGGGGATTACAGGAAGATGAGGACTAAACAAGCATATTTGCATTTGGCAGCTGATGGGGCACCGCTGTGCCCATGCCCTTGGTAGTGATTTGAAAGGATAGGAAGTGAGTTTTTTGAGACCTTAGCATCTCATAAAATATATAAGATGTTACTTGCCATGTCTTTGGTGTAAAAATACTTTACCTCCCTCAAACTTAACAACAGCATGTGCCACAAGACTTATACAACCCTTCCAGAGTACTCTGAAATGTATATCCACAGTTCAATTCAATAGAACAAGATTTTAAATACATAGGTGTCCTTCAAGAAAAAAGCTCAGTCAACTGAACAATAAAATCCTTCAAATCCGGAACAATTGTATTTACAACTGAAGGTCAATATACCCAATAGTTTTCAATAAAACATGACAAGACTACATTCAAAACATAGAATAAACAAATGTTGAACGTAAAGCTATTGAGAAAACCATGAGAACCTCTATGTTTGTCATCTAACACAGATGAATAAGTCTTGAAAACCCATATAAGTACACCTTATCACATTAAGGATTGCTCATTTCACAAAAAGCTAGAGTTTGAACCAACTAGTTCCAGATATTGTTGAGCATATGTTTATTCAAAGTGTACCATTGATACGTTTTTCCAGAGTCTGCCAAATCTACTGGATGTATATCCATATTCTACACCAGGGTTCCATATACATTTAGTGCACCGTTTAATAAATTAAAGTAAAAAACATCTTTGCCTATAAATGATTCTATTTCACAATACTATGCTACTCTAGTAGATCTTCTATAAAAAAGTAAATGGGCACTGCACATATGGTTTATTGGAATGCCCATGCCTGCTTAAAGTGAACATTTTATCTCTGGCACGTCCCATAACTCAAATCAAAAATACATTTAACGTACCGAAGGCTGAGAAACCTTGCTCTAGTTTAGATGAAAGTATCTGCAAATTTTTTTTTTCAAAGGTCCTTCCAGGTATTTTAAAATTAAAATTTCTTATCTCATGTAATTAGACCAAGTTTTCAGCCATGCAACCAACACTCTTTTCTTTGTAAAACTTGTTTTCATAACGGATGCATGACTCGGGAGAGAGAGGAGTGTTAGGCGTGTAAATCTTATTGATAGCTAAGCTGAAATCCGTTATTAAAAGTGGCCCAACTGTGAATTGTCTGATTGTAAACCTAAGCACTACAAAAATAAAGAATATAAAAGAATATAAATATTAAAAAAAAGTGGCCCATAAAGTGTTGGGGTTTTTTTTTTTGGTAATTGCAGCTCAATCAGTTGAATACTTTGAATATCCACAAAATACAAAGCCTTGCGCTGGGATGCAATTAGATTCCAGATGTATCGAATATATTGACTTTACAGAACTCTTCCAGTATTGACTTCAGGCAACAAATGAGAGCTATGACTTTGAGAATTCAAATGAGTGAAAAACAAACAAACAGTTTCTTCATAAGGCAGTTTAAGTTAGTGATTTCTGCCGTTCTAGCTACAAAAAAATGTTTTTACTACATAGACTGTTCACAACATTGTCTCTACATACAATTAGTTTAAGTTCAGCGAGAGCATCTAGTATCATTTTGATGGACGCATTGTAGCCCTGCTGTTGACGCCAAGTGAGGAGCATCTGATAATGTTTCTCAGCGCTTGTGTGGAAGTCCGAATTAATACGTTCTATGTCATTATCTTTGAGGTTCATTGTTCTCATAAATGTATTAAATACATTAAATGGTACTTCGCGTACAATGCAAGTGAAACAGGTTTGCCATTCTGTTGAAAAAAAGCAAAAAGGAGAAAACACATTATAAACCCAGAAAATGTTATCTAAGAACAAGGCACAGTCAAATAAATGACACAAGAATCCTGTTTACATTGTTCATCCTGCAGGGACAGGCTAAATGCCCCAGAACCACTACATTCAACTTAAGGGATTTTGGTGCCTATAGTGTCTCCGTAATGATGCATCATAACAAGATCTTTACGTGTTTAACCAGGAAAGGTACATTCAGATTACTCTGGTTTCCAAGTATGTCCTGGGGATGGGGATATTACTTTTGCCCAACATCCAGGTTACTATTACCCAATTTACTGGTGCTCATACAGTGTATATTGTTAGTCATATTTAGATAATGATAGATGTAACCAACAACTGCAGCATTCATCTCATGTCCAAAATAAAGAACATGCTGTTTTGCTAAAAGGACACAGTAAAGTGACAAAAACAAATTTAGCTTAACCCCTTAAGGACACACCGGGCCGGCCTTAGGCCTTTAGTGCGAAAAATATTCACAGTGCCCCCCCTGCGTCATCCATGTAAAGTGTGTGTGTATAGGAGTGAAGTGACTGTATAGGGGATATGTATGCTATGTGTTGGCTGTGTGTGATATTTGTAGTGGGTGTATTAACTGTATGTGATATACGTGTATTGGTTGTATGTGATATTTGTGCTGGGCTTATTGGCTGTGTGTAAAGGGTATTTAATTCAGATAAAAATATGCCTTTAAGCCTATGTGTGAATGCAAGTGTATATTTTTGCAGAGATAAAATGATGCACAGTTATACATATACACTTGTCAAATACACCACATGCACACAGTCGCAGGCAGATAGTAGCAGAAACACACAGGTACAGGTAGTAACACACATACACAGGTACAGGCAGTAACACACATACACAGTTACAGGCAGATAAAGACAGCCACACACACAGGCAGGCAGTCCCGCACACACAGCCACACATATGGTCTGACTTACACACACACACACACACACATACTTACATGCAGACAGCCACACACACACCCACACACACATGCAGACAGCCCCCCACACACACAGACCCCCCACACACACACAGCTCCACACACACACACACACACACACAGGCAGACAGTCACACACACACACACATACAACACACACAGGCAGGCAGTCACACAAAAACACACAGGCACACAGCCACACACACACAGGCAGACAATCACACACAGGCAGACAGCCACACACACACACACACAGGCAGACAGTCACACACAGACAGCCACATACAAACACACAGGCCGACAGCCACACACATACACAGGCAGACAGTCACACACACACAAACACACACAGGCAAGCGGTCACACACAGACAGCCACACACAAACACACAGGCAGACAGCCACACAAACACACACACAGGCAGACAGTCCCACACACACAGGCAGACAGACACACATAGGCAGTCACACACACATACACAGGCAGACAGTCACACATAGGCAGTCACACACACACACACAGAAAGACAGTCACACATCGGCAGTCACACATCGTCAGTCACACACACACACACACACACACAGGCAGACAGTAATACATAGGCAGTCACACAAACAGGCAGACAGTCACACACACCCCCACACCCCCACACCGTCACACAGTGTCAGACAATCACACATAGTTACCTCTGTTCCTTCATAGGAGCAGAGGACTGGAGGCAGTGCAGCTCCAGGAGTTCCCCGGTACTTTAAGCTCTGCCCCCCCATGCAGTAAGCTCCGCCCCTGCTGCACTGTTAGCCCCGCCCCACCACAATTAAAATATATATATATTTTCACCGGCAGCCATGTGTGAGCTGTGTCGGCCGCACAGCGCTCCCTGCTCCCATGGCGCCCTGTGCAGCCGCACAGCTCGCACACCCCTAAGGCCGGCCCTGAGGACACATGACATGTGTGACATGTCATGATTCCCTTTTATTCCAGAAGTTTGGTCCTTAAGGGGTTAAAGGGACACGCTAGGCACCCAGACCACTTCAGCTCATTATAAACTGCAATAATTACCTCCTCTAGTGGCTGACTTCCGGGTTCTTAGAAGACTTTTGGTTCGTCCTCACCCTATGCATGAGGACTTCCAGCGTCACCGGAATCCCCATAGGAAAGCAGTGAATAATGCAATCATATGGAGAGATCCTAATGCGAGAACGGCCATTGCCGTGCATGCGCATTAGGTCTCCCCCACTGGCGGACGTCGATAGGTGACAAGCATGGACGGAGGTGAGCCAGCGCCAAGGGACATCAGTGCTGGACCCAGGTAAGTGACAGAAGGGGGTTATTAACCCCTTCTGCACCACTGGGGTCCTTGACAAAGGGGGAAGCTTTAGTGCCACGAAAACGAGTTTGCTTTCCTGCCACTATAGCTACCCTTTAATGAAGCAGTTTTGGTGTATAGATCATGCCCCTGCAGTCTAACTGCTCAGTTTTGGTCCATTTAGGAGTTAAATCACTTTGCTTATGCAGCCTTAGTTATACCTCCGTGCATGTGACTTGCACAACCTTTCTAAACACTTCCTGTAACGTGAGATCCAATGTTTACACTTCCTTTATTGAACATTCTGTTTCATTTCACATTTCTTATCTCTGCTCTGTTAATAGCTAGTTAGACTTGAAACCTGTGTGTGATTAAAGTTCAATTCGCAAAGAATGCATCTATATTGAAAATACATCTGATTGAAAATGAAACAATTTTTTTTGTCAGTCACAGTCAGGGGAGGTGTGGCTAGAGCTGCATGGACAGAAACAAAAGTTATTTAACTTCTAAATGGCAACTAATGGGGAGTGAGACTGCTGGGGCATGATATACAGTTGCAAGAAAAAGTATGTGAACCCTTTGGAATGATCTGGATTTCTGCACAAATTGTTCATAAAATGTGTGCAGAAATCCATATCATTCCAAAGGGTTCACATACTTTTTCTTGCAACTGTATACACAAAAACAAAAATTTGCTTTGGTGCCTATAGTGCCCCATTCAGAATCTTAATTATAATTTGATTAAGAAAAAAAAATTAAAGCTTTTTCTGGAACCATGTACAGTAAATCACAGTATGTTTACAAGTGACTTCTCTAAGGTCTGTACAATTACCATGATGAGTGAATTAGCTTTATAACAGTGTAATGTAATTGTCTGTTGACAATACTTACCATTCTCTGTAAGCTGCTGTGAACGATGTGGACTGGCTCTGAGCTGCACAGGAACAAAATACACAATTTAATTCGATTACTGTTATTTATCAAAGCTGTTATAATTTCTATAACAGGATTCATTACTCTTTAACCCCTTAAGGACGCATGACATGTGTGACATGTCATGATTCCCTTTTATTCCAGAAGTTTGGTCCTTAAGGGGTTAAGGCAAAAAGAGTGCAAGCACTCCAACAAAATATTATACCATCTGGAGACTTTCATACAAATATGCACATTTTCATAGACTTTTGATTCTAAGAATATGCTCGCAAATGGGTGCAGTTTGCAAGAAGTGCATCAGGAATTTTCTGTCCCTTTAGGCATTAGTATATTCCTTACAACATTGTTTTCCTAATCGTATTGCCAAACAGTGCCTAGAGCAGAGGTAGGCAAGCTTTGGCACTACAGATGTTGTGGACTACATGTCCCATGATGCTTTGCCAACATTATGGCTGCAAAGGCATTATGGGACCTGTAGGCCACGACATCTGTAGTGCCAAAGGTTCCCTATCCCTGTCTTGGATGTCAGGGCAACTCACTCTTCTGAGACTAGAAAGGGTATCCAATACCCTTAATTCTCTTTCCTTCCAAACCTTTCTTTTGCATCAGAAACCCAACCTCTCTCTATTCCAGCTGCAGTATTTTTCCCATTATATATGGCTTTCATGGAAATGTTAGATAGGTGGAGGACACTATAAACAGCAGATAGTAGTGTATTCAATACCAAATAAACCACATTATAGGCTCTACCTGCAAAGCCTGTTATTTTTATAGAGCTAAAAATACAGGCATTGCCATATGAAAACACAGGAACAAAAATACAAGATTAAATCATAATAAACGCACCTTATTACAAAAGAATGCCTACACATGGCCAAGTTTTACTGGTGCCTTTAGTGGCTGTCACTAAGGGCCACTTGAGGGGGATTTAACCCTAAAATGTAAACATTACAGTTACTACAAAACTACAATGTATTACATTGCAGGGTTAAAATGACATAACCACTATCCAGAAAACATAACTGAGAAAGTGGCCTATGCAACTTTAGAGGTCCTTTAATTGTAGTCTCTTGCATCAGCCATAAAGTTTGCCATACAACCAGCAAGTAAAAATGATCAGTCATAATGTGTACAGTGCACCAAAAAAGAAAAAAAAAAATTAGTGGAAAAGTTTAATTTAAATAAGTAACTTACCTGCGGACTCTGCTCTGTACAAGCTCCTGAGGGCACTTGAGAAGAACAATGAATGCAGCGATTTTGGTTTGGGCAGGGTTCTGCAGACGTTTCTGCAGGATGTTGAGAAGCATTCTGTTCTTCTGTCTGCAAAGTAGGCTTGTTGTCTCCAGTTTCCATCTGCGATAGCGGCAGAGAGCTCTGTACAGAGATTCCGAGTTTGGAATGAAGCATAATAGAGTATGTATAATAAATAATCATTGTTCGATTACTGTTATTTATCAAAACATTGTAAAACTTGCTTGCCATCGTTTTCTTAGTAGCTTTAACATCCACTGACAATACATTTACTATAACAATGTTACCATTGTTACTTATAGTTTACTACTCTAATATTTTTTAATTTGCAGTTACATGGAGTTATTAATAATCTGGCTGATAGAAGTTGATTGGCAAATATTTAAATTGTTTAAATTGTTAAATAAACAACAAATAGTTATACTGCTATATCATTACCACCCCCTCCCCCCCCCCACACACACACACTTCTGCTTGCCCCTCTTAGCTGTATATTCCTTTAACCCCTAAAAGACTAAACCTCTGGAATAAAAGGGAATCATGACATGTCACACATGTCATGTGTCCTTAAGGGGTTAATTAACAGTGTATCTCTACTCCTTAGGTCCAATCCCCAAACAGCTCTGCAACAAAGCCTCTTCGTTTCGACTTGGCTCTATCCACTCACCTGCCCCTTCTCCTGCCCACCCTGGTTCCTTGTAACTATATAGCATGGTCTTCCAGCTGTTTGGAACTACAGTCAATCACCTCCTCATTCCCTTCACAATCAGTAACTGCAATTAACTTTTGTATTGGTCTGTTTATACTGTATTGTTTATGTCCCAATTGTACAGCGCTGCGGAATATGTTGGCACTTTATAAATTCCAGTAATAAATAATAAATACAGAATTTAAATCAGTGTGTGATGTTTTGTCTTCTTCAATCTCATCAACTATGTAATCTACTACTATCCACAAGACCAATGACAGCTTACAACAATCAGTATTCATGCTGTCATTACCCCAGTGATTTTCCCAGAGTCCCGCTGTTCCTGCAAGTCATGTTAACTAGGGCAACATGTTGAGCAACCTGAATTCTGCGTAGAGATGGTGAACGCTCCACATAGAGATACATTGACTCAGTGCATCTCTATAAGGAGATACTGATTGGCGCAGCAGGGGTGGAGCCAGTGGAATAAAAGTGAATCGCTTCCATGGCTCCTTAGACGATTTACTGATTCATAAGGAATGTTTGCCATTTAGTAGTTCACAGATTGCCACTTACCTCCTTGGTATCTGTACTTGTGTTTGGCGCAAGCAGTGGGACCTCCTCAGACATATCACGACACGCTGAACAACTGGATGCACTTGATCCCGGCAGCAAATTTTCCCTTACATTAGCACCAGGCACCTGAAACACAGTCACAAAACTCTCATTACAAAGATGCCTTAATCTGACAGCTAATTTTGTTGCTCTGGGACAGCTTTTGGCATTTGACGACTTTAGGTCATATTTAGACTTTTCCTACACATCTTTCATGACTCGATTTTCATCCTACCGCCATACTTCTCTCCCTTTAAAGACCTTTTTTTGTTTCCACACTTCACCGATTTGTTAACCATCACACTGTCTTCCCGTATCCTTTAGGATTATATTTAAAACTTCAACATTCCCCTACGGAACACTCAATGACCAGAAAGTGCACTTATGCTGTTAATCAGTCCAGCCTTGGATGATAATGAGAGCTCTGGGCTAAAATGCCAAAAGTGATTTAGCCTATCATTGACATCAAAGGTTGGATAGATGTCTGCTCGCTAAGAAAATGCAATATCTTCATAATCAGCATGGTAACATTGGAGTGGGCTGGGGGAGACAGTGAGAGCCATGTTTTTTTTCTCTGCCCCCAAAAAATTTCACACAAAGCCAAGAGAAGGCTGTAGCACTATACAACGAGTTTTAATGGTCATGGTGTTTAAAATGTTTCTTTATGTCACAACGGACCAGGGGCACAACACGCAGAATTAAGTAAAACACGTAACAAATACAAACAGTAACAACGTATTACCGGGCCTTAGAGTGGCCGGAGTTAACGTAATAGAATAAGCAGTAACGAGCTGAGGTCAGGAATACAGAAAGGAACAAAGGCAAAGGGTCAGGGATACCAGAAATACGGGAAGTAAAGCCAAGCCAAGATCAAAAACCAATAATCAGAATCAGGAACGCGCTCTCGGATAACCAACAGGATTGAAACCACGACAGGGCACTGAACAACTGCAGGTTTGGGTTTAAATAACCCAGTAAATCCTGCTATTGGCTAATTTGGGTCCCATGACCACAGAACGTGTTTGCACGGCAAAAACATGACGCCGCATGCACTTTCACGTCACTGTGGGCGGCGTTATTATTTAGCGCCATCTTGCGGCAGCCGGTGTCCCTCCCAACGCTGGACCTGGCCGCCGATCCACAAGCTGCATGGAGGGAGAGGCTCTGGCGCTGAGGTGAGTAATCTCTTCTTCTTTTAGTGCGACCACGCCAATCAGGCCTGGCCAGACTGTGGTGCTGATCGGGCACTGTGACATTTTAATTCCCTTATTTACTCATCGTGTCCTGTGTTTACAAAAATGTCAAACTATGCTGACTTCCTAATATTTTTGCAGATTAAATCTTTTATATTGGGTTAAAATTTATAACAGAATGGTATAAAATAAGAGGGAGTTTAATAAATATTAGTTATTTGTCATTGGAATAGCTCTATTTATTACTAACATACCTTCTGTGAGTCTTCAAGTGAGGGTTTTGTCACAGAAACTTGCGTCAGAATTGACCCCAAACTACTATGGCTGGCCATGAGATCCTTCAGTAGACAAAAACATTAAACATTGAAATTGACAGCTTGAATAAAGTTCTATATGAAATAGACAATTTTCATAATATTGAAGGACAGAGCATTATCTGTTTTTACAGTGTTGAATTTTCCTTCAAATCTACAATGCCACCTGCTCTGTATATGTAATCTGCATATACAGAGCGTGCCACACATCATGCTGCAGAACATGTAGGACCAGTGCATGTAAGGCAAACATCACTGTTTGCATAGTTTGACAGACATGCAAGAGTCCCACCAGCAGAATTGTTTGTGCTTTGGAAACAAAAATTCTCAGACAAATACTTAAGTAGTAATAGGTTTAAAAAAAGTGACATAACTAGCAGTGAATTAGGGGAAAGTGTTAAACCTTCAAGTCTTAAACAGCAATTAACCATGAAAAAAATTTCTTCTATACAGTTTTAAAGAGCCATTATTGTTTTTAATGTATTTAAAAATTTTAAAAAAAAACCTATTAAATTAACTTAATCTAGAAATAAAATGACATGTATTTTCAAACGATACATGCCCTTTATCACATTCATGAAGGCCCTTTAATCACTGACCTTAACAAACTAACTACTGCTTTAAGTAACAATGTTTTTATTTTATTTATAAATGACCAGAATGATAAAAGAGATGCTCACTTGTTCGCCAATTTAATTAGAAATGTTAAATGGACAATCTAGTGTCAAAAATAAATTTAAAAAATACAAAAATCCCCAATGAAAACATGTATACATTTAATTCTTCTTTTTTTTTTATTGTGATATAAAAAAAAAAAGCAAGCCCTCCCTCACCTTTTGTTTTGGCCTCAAAGCTGTAAAAGAAAAAAAAAAAAGATAAACAATTAAAAAAAAAAAACACAATTGGCATCTAATAAATCTATATTCTATTTTTATAGAAACGTAAGTGTGGCACAAGAAGAATTTTCTGAAAATCTTATAAGCACTGACATTTTGTTTTTGTTTTTAAAATTTTCTTGGTAAAATGTATTCACTTAACAGTTAACTGGAAAAGTAATTGAAGAATTTGAAGTTTAAACAGACATGCTGGTTGAAGAGCAGAGAAAGATTTTCTATGCGAACATGTTTTGAATTAACCACAGCCTGTTTAGTGACTAAAACCGCTTTAGTGGATACAGCCAAGTGTTGTTTTTCTATATTAATTGTGGACTTTCCCCTGTTAATGGCGACACACCCTGTGTAGACGCAGTAAGTCAGGTGATTTCAAGTCAAGCAATTTCCAGAACTCTGCCAAGACTCCTGTTTCCGATCAAACTTAACAGTCAAACTTAACATGTCTGCCAAGACTCCTGTTTCCGATCACACTCCCCCATCCCACCTCCTCCAAAAATTCCCTAAGCTCAGACTGTTAACTATCAAGCACTATTTATTGGAAGAAATAGCAAAACATTAATTTGAAACATGACTTGCATAGCTAGCACTTACATGTGTGATAAAAGAGTCATTTTCAGACACACTTTACAAGTAAATGATGTAAATGTATTTCTTTTTCATTTATTCAATCATCGTTTATAGAATGTTTAGGGGAAATTAGAATTTTTATAGAGTCTATACAGTAGCCCCTATCTTGCAATATTTCACCCAGGGCCTGGAATGTTAATATAAAATCATCAATACATTTTCTTTCCACCTTCATAAGGTGTACAAAATTAATTTAAAAAAATTATCAAATACCTTATAGGTATCTATAAGGACCCTGATAACATTCCCAGCAATACAGTTTACAGGAAATGGCAACAATTAAATAAATCAAGTTTTCAGGCGCAGTACATAATTTCACTTGTAAAAATTACATATATTACATATAAAATAATCTTTATATTTAATTAAATCGTTATGTAGCGTGGTGTAACACTGTATTATATACACTTGCAAGCTGGCATATAATTCTAAAGTGTTCATTTATAAATAATCATTAACGTGACACTTTCACATTTCCAAAATCTATGAGAAAGGGTGGATGTTGAAATTCCAGGCTGTTTTGTGTCACACAGGCAAGACTTTGTTTTTGGCAAAAATTAGGTAATGGGCAGAACTTCTGCTTTCAAATCCTCACAGTTCCTGAGCAACCGTAGATTAGAATCTACATCTTCTAATGAAACACACTGTGCAACAGAATCTTGTGTGCATGCACAAGAGTACACAACAAGAGTAACTGTGCAAGTCTTAGCAGGTGAAGCTAAACAGATATGGCAACAGAGAATATGGCAGCCCTGAGGAGAGAGTGTCAGGTAATCATGGCTTCCCAAACTACTACCCCTGAGTGCAACCGTACAAGTGGGTTTTCCCCTTAAAGATGTTTGCAAAATATGGAAGAATCCTTAAGTGACAACATTTTTAAAATGGACCAATGGTCATGGAAGTCAAAGGAATGTTCATGCTGAGTACCACAATTGACAGTATCATTTTAAGTGGCAGCGTTTTTAAATGGAATAATCACTGTGGAATTCAATAGAATGCTGCCAAGTGATCTCTTTTTATGCTCTGTGATGTTGGTTTAACACCGTCTAAGTTCTCATGACTAAAAGACTTGTTTGATGAATATTAACAGGGACGGGATCGACGAACAAGTGGCCACTTTCTGAAGGAGCCAAATACTGGCCCAGGCTCAAGTCCACTTAATGAGGTCTGACCGGTTTCGGATGGAATGCTGACTGGGTTTGGTTTTGTACAAAAAATATCGAAAATGCTCTTGCACTGTAAAAATGTTCATGGGCTTGGCTTCTCTAACTACGTTTATCCAAGACGTACGTAACTAGATAGAAAATTAGAGTGTGTTTTATGGTGATTTATTTTTAAGATTCTAAATATTAAAGTGTTTTATTACATAATGAGAACTTTTTTTCCTGACTGTCATGATGTCTTCAATAAGGCGTGCTGTAACGTTAGGTGCCCATTCTATTGTGTTTATTTGCTGGGACAGCAAGCGTTCCAGAATGATCACCATTCAACAATGATTCAGGAACTAAGCTAATAAGTTTAAGTGCTGTCCACATTCTTCAGGCCATATAGAGTACACTGATAGCTAGTTTGCCACACATGTGATACACACACACAATGCTTTTTATTCCACAACAATGTAACGCAATCTTACACATGTAACGGAGCGTAAATGGAACTTTTTCTTACCGTTGCAAATTTTCTTTCTATATGCACAAAGGATGGCCAGACAAAGAAGGAGTAAAATGAAGAAGATACTTGCCAAAACTGCCCAAACTGTCAAAAAATAATAGCACTATTAACACAAATGCTTTTTGTTTGGGTAAATTAAAACAAAAACTGAAAGTAACATCTGCACATAGTGTGTAGCGTTGAAATGGAATTTCCAAGAAAGTGGAGTGGGCATTACACAGATAATCTTTGCCCAAAAGCTTTCCTGTTTCCCCTTTCTGCCCTAGTTTTTATTGTTGCAAGGGCAGTTATAATTGTATAGAATGAGTTGTTCCTTCCATGTCTTAAACAGAGCATACAGGCTAGGGTAGTGGTTCCCTGGTTAATCCTCAAGCCACTGCGACGGTTCAATTTTGTCAGTATGCCTATTGAAACAATTTAGCAAAATTTCTAAACCTTCAGTTGTTGGTGTGCCCAGAGGATTTGGTACCACTTTGGTAGAATTATGGATCCTATAGGTTATCTTCCAGTAAATCGTTATTCACACTTAACACACTACTTATTTTCTCACAATATTTCCTCATGCTGAACTGGTACACCACCTGCATGGCTGCACCTCAAGACAAGCTTCACAGAACCTTCTCTTTAAACACCACTCTATAAATCCACTCCGTTAATGAATGCAAATTCATCTCACATTTTGGGGGATTTTTTTTCTCATTTGTCTAAAAGACAAATGACCAAATCCATTATATATCAAGAAGAACTTAAAACAAATTACTTTATGGATAAAGTTTCACCCATTCATTACTCATTATTTAATTACAATAAGGGCGAATCAAGCTTCCTCCTTATAATTTATTTCATTATTTTTTTGAGGAATCCATAGACAGCAGAGCTGCTTGCATATTCTCACCCCCATTCCCTGTACCAGAACATACCTAAGTTATTTGGCACCTGGGGCAGAAATGTAAATTGATTTGCATGTAAATCTACCCACTTGTTGCATCTCTTTTGTATGTGTGTCTCCTAACCTCTTGTAACCGCCCTTACCACTTGTGTCTCTACTATATTTTCTTTATCCCCTACTGTGTCTCTTACCACCTCTAACACATTGTGTGTCTCTTATATGACTCTTACTGATTATGTGAATTTAACCACCTTGATCCTTAGTTTGCCTCTCAACACCCATTGTATCTCTTGTGCATGTCTAAGCCCCCCTAACTCCTGGTCAGTCATGGTCTTACCTACTCCACCCCTAGTCTTCCATTACTGTAGCGTGGCAGAGGATGAGGCTGAGAATGGCAGGAAGTGAGGGAGGCCAGAGAGGTGGGCTTAAGGCTGAATGTTACATATCAACCTCCTCCACTCATGATGTTGATGCTTAAATTTGAAATAAAACAGAGCGGTAGACAACTGCGCCTCTTCTTGGTCTTTACACTTTCATCATCAGAGAAGTAAAAGCGATGCCCTACAATTTTTATTTTAATTTCAGAAATTACTGTGCAGAAAAAAACATCTAAAATACCCCATCCATTGTTTCCATTATTATCTTACCAGATATGTCGGTGGATGATTTTTTATCAGTTGCTGAAAACAGAGATGAGAAAAGAAAAACACAATTAAACAAGAAAATTATTATTATACACTCAATATTTCAGTGAATAGTCACTCTACATACAATTAGTTTTGGGGTCTTCTGAAGTCTGAATGGAGGGAGGTTTGGTTTCTCTTGATGGCTCACTAGTTTCACAAACCGTGTTTGAAGTCGCTGTACAATTTTTCTCCACTGGACCTGAACAACTAAAGTCCAAAACAAAAGGACAGAGAAAAATAGGTCAAACAGAGGATCAAAAATATCTATTAATACCAACTGCTGTTTGACTACCTGTCTCTGGGACCACGACTGGGCAAACCTCATTTATACCTTCAAACATTAAGAAACAGGCAAAACATCAGTAAGAGATGGAACTATTCATACATCGCATTTTCCCAGAATAGAGGAAGTTACAACAGTTAAAATAAAACTATAAAATGAGCCTGCCAGACAAAAATTAACAGTTTTAGAATGTTGTTAATGTTTATTACTCAGCTGAAAAATCATAGACATCTCCTTACGTCTTTGCTTTAAAGTGGATGTTTTATACGGAGTTGGTGAATGCAGAGATTTGCAGTTATAATAGATTTTGATTGCTGCTAAAAATCAACCCCCTTACTTACATATGGCATAGGCAGAAGTTATTCTTCCACTCCTCATACATATACTAGCATGATGGAGGTACTCCACACAGGTCCACCACAGAGACCTGCCATTTTAACCCATCTAAGTGCATAGGTTGATATAAGATGTGGAAGTGTCCCGTTAATCTTGATAATATCTGACATTTAGGACTGAGTAGTCATGTATCTGCAGCTGCATAAGTCATTTAAGATGTCAGGGAAACACTCTCTTGCCCGAGGAGTCATGGGTTTGGGTAGAAACAGGTGAATAAATGACATAATTCGTCATTAACATTACCTTTTACATCTTTTGCATACTTCACAGGTGCCTCCGGGAGGGCAAAAGGTGCCTTGTTTGCACTGACACACAGCATCGGACTCGAGTGTGCACGATTTAACTTGCACTTTGTCTGAAAAAAATCAAAAGAAAACAAATAATGAGAAGAGAGCATTTGTTATAACATTTTACACTTTTCCCCAGTCATTTACATAAAGTACCTCAATGGGTCACATAATTCATTATTTATCTAAATATAGAGAATAGGGAAAGGGAAGTAGCACGTCTATGGATATTGTTTTCCATGGTAATTAAGGAGCACAGACTGCGCCTGCGCTTACTGAAAGGCTTCTTTCCATGGCTCAGCAGTTTGCAAGGAACATCGTCAGTTGGAAAGTAATGGGGTATTTTACGGAGCTTGGTCACACATGTGCCACCATTCTACTCTTTGGTACAGTAGTGGGAGACTTCGCCTGGCTGGCTCGCCAAATGTAATAAAATCGCTTTCTGTGTGATCTTTGATTGAGTTGTAGTAAATATTGTATATATATCTTTGTGGGTTAAAGGCTCACCAGGTAGATATAGATCTATATGAACCAGTACTAATACGCAATTTGACTTCATGTTTACTCTTACAGTTACTGATGCATAATAAAACAATAAAGGATGTTACAGGATAATGGATGTTCGACAGCAGATGGTAATTGCTGGATTACTGAAAGGAGAGTTAGACTCTACATAGTTAGAGAACAACCAGACAAGAACCTCAAGCAGCAAGCAACAGCAAAAGTGTGGCCCTTTTACTCACTATTCTATATAGCTATGACCATAATGACGTCAGACCTTTTGAATATAACTCTGACTATATAAGGACAAGACACCCAAATACCACATTCCAGAGTCCTCATCTCATGACACACCATAGCAAAGTACTATCTGTTCTTTTTAACCCATTAGACATCCACTATGTATATAAATAGGAACATAGTAATGTTCTACAGAAATGAAATAATACTACCGAATAAAACATTGAAAATCACCTATAATTTATTTAAACATTTTTTTTATGTGATTATCTATTTTCATATATATATATATATAAAAAGCAAAAAAAATCTTGCACTCCACCAATCAAAATGTCAAGTGCCTGGTGCTTGTCAGCCAAAAATACAAAAAATAGCAAACGATAGCACTCCAAGGACTAATCTAAAATGTAACTTTTATTTACCTCAAATAAAAAAATTCTCAAGACCTTAAGAATTTTTTTATTTGAGGTAAATAAAAGTTACATTTTAGATTAGTCCTTGGAGTGCTATATTTTGCTATATGTATATATATATATATATATATATATATATATATACATACACATATATATATATATATATATATATATATACACACACACACATATGCATATATATACATACACACACACACACAAAAAGTGTTTAATCCTTGCACTCAGGCTAAACACAATTGTGCAAATGCCGGGTGCCATATTTATTTATTAGTGGTTCAATCCAATGGTACAGTTAGGGCATACAATGCAAATAAGGAGGGGGAAAAAATACATTGTTTCTATTTAACCACTTCCACTAACTATAATCAGTGGCAGAAAAGGACAACATTAATAGCAATGATTGACAGGAAGGCAAGATGGATGCACGCAGTTAAAGGACAGAAGTTAATAAAGAAGTATGAATACACAAAAATAAGTCCTGCTCTTAGACTTCCACTACTCCTGGGCGGCAGCAATGATTGTAGTACACATAAGCCCCAATACATACAATAAAAAAAAAAAGAAAATAGTTACTTGCACAGCTAACTTTTTTTTTTTAAAGAAGTATGAATGCCTGCATTTAATTGTAATTTTTCACACCTCACAAAAACATATTTGCCAAATATATTCTGCTTTGCTGTAATGTATTAATATTAATAGAATTTTCACATTTGAGGATGCGTCAATCTTACCACCAGTACAATGCCTGCAGTTGAGGCAGTGATCAAGGCCGTTCGGATATTCCGTATAGTCCTCTCCCAACGTGCACGGGGCACAGACTGAGTTGCCATGATTCTGCGTACAATGTGTTTTCACGGAAGTGCCTGGGAAAAGACAAATGTACAAATGCACTCAATGAGAAAAAGGATGCAACTTCACAAAATGTAAAAAAGTAAATGGAATAATAGGGCAAAGTCTGAAATTATTGAGATTGTTTAATATATATATATATATATATTTTTTTTTTTTAATTCTTTGTTAGTGTTGGAAGGTAAGAGGAATGAGTAGAACACTGCAGATCAATCATGAATAATGTCCGGTTTCACATTTTTTTAATTTATAGTGTAACAATGCAAAATCTAATATTTATGAGAAAATTAGCAATTTTCACATTTACTAAAGATAATAGTGGAAGAAATTAAATTATTACAAAAGTTCGCATTCAGTATTATCTGGTGTCTATTTTAACCCCTTAAGGACACATGACATGTGTGACATGTCATGATCCCCTTTTATTCCAGAAGTTTTGTCCTTAAGGGGTTAAGGATCTGGAGTGTTCCTTCAACATTAGACACACGTACACCCTGGGTGTAGATCTATCTCATGGTAAAAACTGCTCAGAGCTTTATTAATACACTATGACAATCAGATAAAAGATTAAATAAAATCAAAGCCTCTTACAGACTGTAGTGTGCAAATGCATAAAGGGTCAGTACAAACCGCTATCTACTAGCCTGTTCATTAGCAGGAATATACAACAGACAAATGGTCACCCATTGAGACTGGAAGAAAGGAGTTTTCACTTACAGCAGAGTAATTATTTACAGTAAGAACAATAAAGATGTGAAATTCTTGCTTTTTGCAGGTGGATCTTACAAAATCTGCATTATTTGATTACTGTCAGTACACGAGGTTGAAATGAAAATAAATTAATAAAATAATACAAATTAAAAATAAATAAATATATAAATGTTTTAAATAAATATGTTAATTATTGGGTATGGTGTTAAGTGTTAGTGGTGCGAATGGCTGGGTTTAAAAATTATATCTTCAATTACAACAATTGTTTGCCTGCAAATTTGTTGCAATCTGTTTGCAGACAATTGCCAATTCTGTCTATTTTGAGCGTTTAAAGTAATTGGAAGAATCCAGAGGGACTTAAACAGAAAATATGAGTACATTTAAATCTTATTATTATTTTTCTTTTCTACTTCCTGGACAGCATCCATGTTGAAGGCAGCCTGGGAGGGAGGGTCTGCCGGAGATTGGCAGGGATGTGTCAGCTGACCGGAGTTCGCCACAAACCATTCAAACCATTCGCGGCGAACCGTGGCGAACCGAGAAGTTCGCGGACGGTTCGCGACATCACTACTCCTGATAAAACCAACCAATTGATAGAACCTAACACCAGAAAATATGGAATAAACTCACTGCTATTCTATTGTGGGATCAAAATAAAGTCTGTGCTAAAACTGGCATACATCTCTGGATTTAGTGTTGTCAAAGTCAAACCAGTCAATTAGAAGTTCGTTTTTTTTTGCTTTATAAATACCATTAGCTGTGAACCATACTTGTAAAGTCCAGCATTCACAATTGAATACTTAAATAATGCTTACCTGCACTGCAATTCTTGCAACATATCTTTTCATTCAGATACTCGTTCGGGGGGCATATGTTTCTTTTTAAACGATTATGGTCGAAACCCTGGAGGCAGTCCTGGGAGAGATAGAAAAATAAGCAAAGTGAGCGTGAGAGTGCTTACAGCACAGGAGAGAGGGCCTGCAATTATAGAGTTAATTAAAAAAAAATATTTGTAAAACAGAACCGCACTATGCAAAGAAAATAAAAAAACTGAAAAGGGGAAGGAAATTATTTTGAGTTCTGAATTTAGATTCATGATGATGAAAAAAAGTTTTTTTTAAATATATTTTTGCCCTTGTTGTGTGTAAAGTATAAATACAAGAGTTGTGCAGCAACTAACACCTAAGAAATAAAGACACTAAATCACTAACTTTCACTGGTTCCGGAGCGTTGGAGAATTGACTAAGGATCTGCAAATTGTAGATCAACAAACAGTCTGCTAAATTTCTCCATGTTTTTTTTTATTTTTTTTTAAATGTATTTTATTTTCGGATTTTCACTGAATATGCATATTATACAGAGGGGGGGTAACGTGGGATGGGGTACACGGAGAGAAAAGGGGGGGGGGGAGGGAGGGCGACAGTGCATAAACATTGTATCATAGCCATCCAAAAAGTATCAATAATAATAACATCTGTGCATGGAATTGGATATTCGTCATTAGGCACAATTTACCAGCTTCTGACTATAATACATATATACATATATACAATGGCAGTTCTATTCAAGTTTGCCTGAAACATTCTAAGGCACTAATTTGCATCTGTCCGTCCTAACTTTTAGGACCGCCGGGGCGGGAAGGGAGAATGGTGGGGGGTTAGCGAGGCTGTGCTATGGCATAGAGTATTTATTATATTGTGTTGGTGTTGAAGAGAAGGGCAAAAGGGAAAATGGTCAGTTAGAGGATGTTACACGGTGTTAGCTTGGGAAGCCCTTTTTTGCTGAGGAGCTTGGTAGAGTATCAAATATGCCGCAGCCTCTTTTATGTCTTTCCATATCTATAGTCCACCCATCTGCGCCACCTTGTTTCATGTCTACGTTGCCTCTCAGTGATACGACTTGCCATGTGTTCGTAATTATATATCGAGTCTAATCTGCCCAGAATCTCTGATAGCGTGGGCACCTGTGTGGATTTCCACTTTTGGGCAATCGCAGTTTTAGTTGCCATTAGGCAATGGATAGTTAAATAGCTTTCCTCTTCGTGGAGATTGTCTGGGAAAATGTGTAATAAAAAGCTTTCTGGTGTCAGTGGAACCTTGATCCCTAGATCCGTGCAAAAAAGTGTGTGAATAGCCTTCCATAATAATGTGATCTGTGTACATGTCCAAAATATATGGTATAGGGATCCCTCTTGATTTTGGCATCTCCAGCAGAGTTTGTTCGCACCTGGGTATATGTGTGCCAATTTTTTGGGGACCAGGTACCAGCGCATAGTTAGTTTACAGTAGGTTTCCCACTGGTTGAGGCTATGTGAGGCCTGCTTTGTTAGCTTCTGAGCCTGATGCCACGTGGCTACTGGGAATTGCATTCCCAGGTCCAGTTCCCAGTTTGTCATGTAGGAAGGTTTTGTTGCCGTATATTGGGTAAGAAGTGTATTGTAGCAGAGGGATAGTGCTTTAACCTTGGGAAGTTTCCCCTTACACTTATGGAAAAATGGTGGTATGAGGTTATATTCTTTCAGGATAATCCGGCTTTCCTGAATAATATTCTTTAGCCTCAAATAGGTGAATAGTTCCCTGGCTGGGATATTAAATTCCCTAACAATTTCGGGGAATGGTTTGACGCCCTCTTGGGTTAGCAAGGAACGTACCCCTGAGATCCCCCGGCTAAGCCAGTTTTCTAGCTGTAGGTTCGTCGTGTGGGTAGCCAAGGCTTGAAGTGGTGCCTCAAGGAGTAGATCATTCTCCTTGAGGAATAGAGGAATAGTTTGTCTCCAAGTCCGGAGCATTATCACCGTAGTTGGGAGCAGGTTTTTTGATTGTAATGGTATTGAGCTTGCCCAGAGGAACATTGGAATCGTGCCAGTGGACAGACATGCGTTTTCCAACGCCAGCCACACCGGAGGGGACTTCCTCTCAAGGATCGTGAGGCCTTGTGCCATTAATGAAGCTTTGTGGTATAATTTAATGTTGGGTACGCCCAGCCCGCCTTTTGTGAATGAGCGCCAAAGAGAGTTTTGTGTTATTCGTGGGGGCTTATGCTTCCAAATGTGTGCATTGATCTTGGCCTGAAAGTTCCTCAATATCGGGTTCGGGATTGTAATAGGCAGGGTGCGAAAGAGATATAGAATGTGTGGTAAAATCATCATTTTAATGGTATGGATGCGCCCAAGCCAGGAGATTTCCTTGTCCTCCCAGGATCGGAGCTGTTGATCTAGTTTATGTAAGAGTGGCGTATGGTTTTCCTTTATTGTCAATGTGTGTGAAATTGGCAGTTTTATGCCCAGATATGAGATGGAGGATTTCCTCCAGTCAAACGGGTACAGTGTTTTAAGGTGTGAGAGGAGGGTATGGGGCAGCCCCAATGCCAGTGCTTGTGTTTTTTTGGCGTTATTCTTGTAGTAAGACATCTTACCGTATCTTCCTAATAGTGTTAGCAAGGATGGTAGTGATGTCTCAGGGTGTGTTATAAAAAGGAGAACATCATCTGCGAAAAGGGCTATTTTTTGCTCCCCTATAGGCATTGATAGGCCCGTAATATTGTGGTCGGATTTAATATGTCTGATTAGGGGTTCCATACAGAGAATAAAGATTAGAGGAGAGAGCGGACACCCTTGTCTAGTACCGTTTGTTATATGAAAAGGTTGTGACAGGAATCCGGAGTTGAATATTTTGGCTGACGGCTTGGAGTATAAGACCATTATGCCTTTCAGGAATTCTAGAGGGAAGCCCATGTAAGTCAGTACAGATTTCATGTATGTCCAATTCAAGCGATCAAACGCTTTTTCCGCGTCTAGGGCTAATAGTAAGCCCTTCTGATTAGTATTTTGGGCCCAGGTAGTTAAGTTTAAAAAATGGCGCGTGTTGTCCCCAGGTTGTCTGTTCGGGACGAAGCCTGCCTGCTCCAGAGAGACCAAATCCTGTAGGATGGGTTGGATGCGTGAGGCTAGTAATTTGGCATACAATTTTGTGTCAGCATTCAGCAGCGAAATAGGCCTTAGGTTGGCGCATTCCGTAGGGGGTTTACCCGGCTTAGGGAGTGTAACAATATGGGCTAGCAACATCTCTTCTGGCATGGAGCCTGAGTCCCTAAAGAAATTAAAAAGGTCTGTAAGGTATGGTGTGAGTTGTTCTTCGAATATGTGATAAAAGCGGTTGGGAAACCCATCTGGCCCTGGGGCTTTGTGTTTGGGTAACTTTAATATAGCTTGGCGCACTTCGTCTTCCGTGAACTTAGCTAACAATGTCTGCCTTTGATGTACAGACATGCATGGCAGATTTGCCTCACCCAGAAAGGTGTCTATTTCAGGTTCTAGCGGTTGGTGTAATGATGAATCTTGTGTAAGGTTGTATAGGCCTCTGTAAAAATTCGCTAATTCGCCCACTATGTCCTGCGGGTTAAATAATTTCGTACCCGTGGCCGAGGTCATGTATGGGAGTTTTGTTTGTATGTATCGCGCTTTTAGACGATTTGCTAGCACTTTGCCTGCTTTATTTCCTTGCATATAGTATGTCAGTTTTAGTTTACGTAATTGCCGTTCCGTAATGAGTAAAGACAGTGCATGTAACCTCCCTCTAGTCTGTTCAATCTGTTGGGACAATAATCTAGATGGTCTCAATTTGTTAGCCTTTTCTAGTGTCTGGAGCGATGCAAGTAGTGTGTCATTTTCGTTGTGAGCTTTTCGTTTGCGTATTGACCCTGCTTGTATTAAGAGGCCTCTGAGTACAGCTTTGAGGGCCAACCATTTGGTGTCTATGCGGGAGGGATCTGTTTGATGGTTCTCATAAAACATTTGTATGTTTCTACGTATTGTGGTGACCGTGTCAGTATCGTCTATGAGGGATTCATTCAAACGCCACGCATTCCGTCCTCGAGCTGGGTATAAGGCCCTGAACATAGTAGTTACTGGTGCATGATCAGACCAGGTTCTGTCACCTATTTGCACTTCCATAACATTCGAGATTGTGTTCTTGTCTACCCAACACATGTCAATGCGCGAGTATGTGTGGTGTACCTGTGAGAAGTAGGTGTAATTTTTCTCATTCGGGTAGAGTGATCGCCATGTGTCATACAGGTCGTTCGTGTGAAGCAGTTTACTGAGAGTGAGGCTCATATTGTGAGCTTGCTGGAGTGGTTGTTTGCCTTCTATACGTTTAATGTCTAAATTGGGATCCAGTGTACAGTTTAGATCTCCACAAATAATAGTGTGACCTTCCCGGAGGCTAAGTATTTTGTGCAACGCTCGTTTTATGAACGTAGTCTGGGAGTCGTTAGGGGCATATATGGATGCTATCGTCAGTTTCATGCCATTCATTGAGCCCACCACAACCAGAAGTCTGCCTAGCTTGTCTACGTATGAGTTGGTGAGTTGGAATACCCAATCTACGTGGAACAGTATTGCCACCCCTCTTGTTTTGGTTGGGGAAAGAGCATGAAACACTTGTTGGTATTTGGAAGATGTTAGGGTGGGGGGCTTGTTTTTACACATGTGTGTTTCTTGGAGGCATATTATAGCTGCCTGTGATTTGTGCATCGCTCTAATCACCGAGCTTCTTTTGAAGGGACTGTTTAGGCCATTGACATTCATAGAAAAGCATTTAAATTGATATGTCATTACTAGTATGAGGGATGTTGCTGTCTCTTATCTTGATACGGAATGTGCCCAAGTATTGATCTCTGGGCCTCTGCCATTCTAATGGGTATCCTACTATGTCTTAGCGGTAGGTGGAGTTTTGTGTACGCGAAATTATTCTCTTCTGCCATAGTAATGGATAAAGGGGTGGTAGGTAGTAAACAGGGGAAACGGAAAACTAAGAACATAAGTATATACAATAACTCTCGTCCTTGAGAGTGTACGTTGGAGTACAATGTGGAGCCCTCGTGCTCCACGTTTGTAGTTCCTGTGGGGGGTCGTGCGGAACTATACCGCACCCAAGCCAGATTTGTCATATGTCCACTTTGTTAACTGCATCTTCTAGTGGGCCTGGGAGCCAGAACAACAACTCCATTGTCATCCGCTGTAGATCGGGAAGACATTTTTGCTAAGGGGTCTAAATTGAGTGGGTCGTAGCCTCAGGAACTGTAATATGTTTTTTTTGACCTTTTAGATGAGTTTAGTGACCTCTCATTAGTTTAAACAACTTTAACTCTAGCATATCGGGATCGTTCGAGTCCACCCCCATCCTATGCAGGACGTACCGACTACGTATGCTGTATGTGCACTGTTGGTATGTGGGTATGCCTTTAAGCGGTATTGATGTACAGTGGGGACCCAGCTAGCACAATGCAACCTTCCGGGGCAATGTTAACCTATATGGTATCATTCCAATTGGGGTACCATCCCATACTCTACCTCAGCAGCAATCCACCCCTGTTGGGAATATCACATTGTGTGCCGAACGTATTATCCTCCCAGCAAAGCTAGCAGGAAAGCCAATGCGTCTAGCCCCAAACATTCCCCACAAGCATTACAATAACATTTTACATGGTATAAGGTCAGTTCTTATTTCCTTGGGGACTCGCGTCAGTACCGACATGGGTCTATGTGATTAGCATGGCAGTAAACCAGGTAGGGCTCAATGGTTTGCGGGGAGTTAGGGAGCCGGTCATTATTGTCGGGCCATTATTATATAATTTTTTTTTTTTTTTTTAAATTCAACTTAATGCTAATATTCCTTGCACTGACGCGAGCCCCCATATAAATACCACTATCGAGTGTCGTTGTCTCCCGCTTCCTCCAATACATTAAGGCGAGGGGAAGGCCGGAACGTGGGTCCCATAGGTTACAGTTCTAGATAGTGTCCTGAGTAGCTGCTGCACCTTCAGTTAGTCTGTCTTCTCCTCACGACGTAAGGCAGAGTTGCCATTGTGGCTCCAGGCTTAATGTCACTATGTGGGTCGCTTGCGTGGGGATTCTCCCACCATTTTCCATTCGGGGCGGGTCGACATCGGGGAGGTTCTTGCGATCGTTGTCGGATGACCACTTTCCAGCGTGTTCCAAAGGCCCCATTCTTTCAGCATGGCCATTCCATCTTCCGGGTCCTCTATAGTGCGCAGCTTGTTGTTCCGCCATACCAACAATTTAGTGGGGAAACCCCATCTGTAGGCCTGATCATGGTTTCGCAGAGTCTTAGTTATAGTTGAGAACTCTCTTCGCCTGGCCATAGTTAAAGCTGAGAGGTCGGCATATATGGAGAGAGAGCTATATGGGTCGGTTAGCGTCGGTTTAGCTCTCGCTGCTTTTAAAAGTGCCTCTTTGGCCTTGTAATAATGAAAGCGCACAATAATGTCGCGCAGGACTTCTGCTCCCAACCTAGGTGGCTTAGGTAGACGGTGGGCCCTGTCCACTTCCCACGAGAGTGTAGGGTCGGGGACCAACGCAGCACACAATGCTGTTATATAGGCTGTAATTTGGTCTGTAGTGGTGGATTCCGCAACCCCCCGAAACCTTACATTATTCCGGCGGGAGCGATCCTCCATGTCCGCCATTTTGTGCCACAGTTTGGTGTTTTCATCTTCCAATTTCTTTAGTTTGTCTGCCATTTCGTTGTGCGCTCAGCACAGGTCCTCCGTCCTCCTTTCCACTTGATCAGTGCGGTCACCCAGATCTTCCAGCTCCTGGTGTATACCAGATATAGCGGTCTTGAAATCTTCCCTTATTGTGGCTCTTAGATCTGAGAGCATCGTTTTTAGGAAGTCCTTTGTAATTTGGCAGTCTTCTGTGGATTGGTGTGGGGATCCCTCATTGAAGACATCAGGCTCTGGGGACTGAGCTCTGCTGGCGGCGCC